GTTGTTGGATACGGTAACATGAATGCACATGTGCCACTTCATTCTAACTTCTATAGGTTCAAGAAGTCTTGATAGAAATGAATAAAAACCCTATAACCCAAGTGCTTTTCGAAAGGAGGACCTTTCTTCTTCCTAGATTGCCCCTGACGAGGAAACGTCCACCTTTCGAAAGCGCTCGGGTTATAGGGATTTTATCCATTTCTATCATTGTAACTTCTGTAATATTAGTCAGGCACAGCTGAAAGGTCAATATAATAAATATATATATAAATGTATAATGTTATGAGATTTAAGTTATTTGGACCAAACATTTATGTTTGTGTTATAATTTGTAGTCATTCTAGAATGAAAGAGGCATAATTTATAGACATTTCCCAATTTTTTATGGTAGTTACGAGATCGGTCAAATCTACTGAACCTGTACAGAGATTCATTACTGAAAATAACACACAAAATATAAAATTGTTTTCTTAAAAAACGTTTGATAACTATCTAGACATTATAAAGATTTTGCATGTGAAATATGAAAATTTTCTGATGCATAAAAGTATTTTTAATCTTAATATGAAAATTATTTTGCATGTTAGATAGGCAACATGCGAAAAGAAAAAGAAAAAAAAAAGCATGAGAAAAACATTGCTTTACAAACCTAAAGACTTGATTAAAAAAATTGATATTTTGTGGATGAAAGCATTGTAATGTTTACTAATAATGTACCAAATTTCATTAACATTTGCATACAAATTTAAAAGTTGTAGCATGAAAACTATAACAAGCATAAAATGGTTACAAGATTGGTCCCAGGGACCGAGCCAGTGCTGAAAAAGAGTTAAATGGCTTGCAATGGTGTTCTACTATTAAAATAATTTGAAAATTGAATCTAATTCTATGGAAAATTCTTCTAAATTTATAACCAAATTTTAGTATGAATTAATACAAGAGTGACATAGGTAAAGATTCATTTCTGTGAACCTGGATGAGCAACTTTGTCATCCCTTGATCACAAAAACATTAACTACTATCACCATTAACCCACTGTTAACCCTCTAAATTTAGGATTGGCTTTTTTCTGTGCATGTCACAATATTTCAGTTATATTCAAACTTAATTAAACACCTTTATTATCAATGTCTGTCAATAAAAATTAGCAGTGTAGTTTATAATTAAAATGTTTATATTATTAAAATTTCAATTACTTAATTTCTCAAGAAAATATTCAAAACAAATCCCAATCTTCATTTCTCTGTATCATGTGACACATCTGCATTCTGAATTCTCTTTTATTTTGTATAACTTCACTATTATAGCATCTACACTGTCCAACTTATCTAGATACAAGCTATAAACAATTCCAAGGTCCAATGTAGCTTTAATGTACTAACCTCGTTTTGCAATTTTGTTTTACCTTAAATACCTTATGCAATCTATTTTAATGACTTATGTTATAATTATGTTTTGAAATGCACAGTCAAATGGTATACTAATTTTTGTTTTGAAAAAGACTTAAGAGAAAAAAAAAAGGCTTAGGTAACTACAAAGCGCACAAGTTCAGAGCTGCATACATGAACATCCATTAGTGTATGAAAACCTATGATGTGTCGCTCTTCAGGCATTAAGAAAAATGAATGTTGTACAAGCAAGGCAATAAAACTAAAGTGAAATATATGAAAATGCAAACACTATAATACTGTGATGATGATGAAACTGAGGACATGACAACAAATAATTAATTCAAATAAGAAAAGTATTATTTGTTTTATTGCATAATTTTCAAAAATTGTCTCTAAGTCAGTGATTTAGCTACAGTCAGAGTAGAGAAAATAACAGATAAGCTACATAGTTTTACTTTATACAAATGCTTCATATTCATTTAACCCTATCACCATGGGTATCCTTTACTGCACATAAAAGGTTTCAGTGTCTTACATTCACAGTTTTATTAAACCACTACTTGTTTATGTTATACCAATTATTACGTCATAAAGAAATTAATGTCGCATTTTGAAACAATTTCATTAACCACCCCCCCAAAAACATACATCACGTATAATAGTTAAATGAGCTACATAAAAGTCACATTAGTGTAGCTTAT